AGGGCCCACACTCTTAAAAGGCGAGGGGGGGGGGGGGGGGGGGGAGAGCAAAGAAACACGAGCATTAAAGGATCTCTAAAAGTAGTAGCCCCTTAAAAATCTCCCTTTGTACTGCCCAACTGAAACAGCTTGGGAAGAGGATTAGCAACGGAAAAATGCTGCTAATTCCTTCTCTTGCCATAAGCCTTACCATGGAAAAGCAAATAAAATCCCATCCTGTCTCCAAGACGTACTAGTTATAAACTCGCAGTGGAAACACGAGCATTAAAGGATCTCTAAAAGTAGTAGCCCCTTAAAAATCTCCCTTTGTACTGCCCAACTGAAACAGCTTGGGAAGAGGATTAGCAACGGAAAAATGCTGCTAATTCCTTCTCTTGCCATAAGCCTTACCATGGAAAAGCAAATAAAATCCCATCCTGTCTCCAAGACGTACTAGTTATAAACTCGCAGTGTGCTGCAAACCATTTGATTTCATTAGCACCCTGCAGTTCGTGCCCTGGAAACAAGCTTTGGTCTCCTTCAAAAAGGCTGGAATCGAGTCTTAGCAGCAGGGAAATGCCAAATGAATTTACCCTCCAGCACAACCCACTGGTTGATATATACACGGGGGAAAAAAAGATATCAGGACGAGCCACATTTACACCAGATATGCTCATACAACACCTAAAACAGACACCAGTACCGGAATATATAGACAACACGTATATACCCAAAGTTAGAAACCTCAACTGCACTGGGGGTTTTCAAAAGCAAGGACATTCAGACTCCCCTACAAAGAGGTGGGGAGCACCCTTGGCCCGGGCTGGCTCAGAGGTGGGCAGTGTACAGAGCCTCCCTGGACCCAAACCCCCATAAAGGAGCTTTAGCACTTTCAAAAGTTCACACAAAAGGCAGCAAACTGAGCTGTTTTCTCTGCCCCCTCTGTCGATGAAAGAGATTAGTGTTTGAGTAGAAGGGCCTTTCCCTTCCTGCCCGGCTGTTCTGCCCATGGGAGCTTGCCGCGATCTCAGCATCCTCGCACAGTGCAACGGCGGAAGCTGCGACTTGGGGGTTTATTGTGGACTCCCACAGGAGGATGTGTGCTGGGCAGAGAGCTCTGCATGAGAGAGAAACAACAGTGAGCTAACACACATTTACTTCAAGTTGGATATATTTAAATATCATCTCCAAGGACACAGGAGTCTGTCCTAGGCCATGTTGTCCATACCATCCTGTCGGCCTGGGCATTTCAGCTTTAGGTCTCGTGCCGATCGAATTCCTCGATGATGCCGTTAGTGCTGGCTGCACCGAAGGGCTGACTGAAGGAGTCAGAAAGCCTACCTGGATATTGAGAATGCCGCTGATTTTTGATTAAGCAAAAAGAGAAGGTTTCAGATAGTGGTTTTCCTCCCAGAAGTGCCTCAGCCAGTGGAAAGCCACAGAGCCTGCTTGGCGAATCTTGCAAGTGATGTATATTTTAACCCACCAATGCGCCAACCACGGAGATGTGCTCCGAATGAATCGCTGCAGCATGGATCTGCTGTAGAAGGAAATGGCCAAGATGACACTTTTCTTCATCAAGGTTGCACAACAGCATCTGGGCGACTGGAACAGCTACCAGGCAGCAACATGGGAAGAGCAACTCAGACCCAGGTATCCACGGTCCAGGCCTGTAAGACACCATCCCCTTACACTGCCTCTTGTTCAAGTCTTCAGGGCAAAGGTGCAGGCCCAAGGACTCCAAAGTACTTGTCAGGTGGTACGTGCCACAAGTGGAGCAGCTGCGGGACACGGACCCACTTGTCCTTCCATTTGCAATCATTAAAAACAGCGGACAAGGAGATTATGAGAGAGTCAGGGAGGAAGGGGTAGAGATAGCACCTATTCTTCTGCCAGCAGACTGTGTGACAGCAGAACACATGGATAAAGATTTCCAGGCCGACTACTTGTTCCCTGCCAGGAACAGAAAACTTTTGCTAGCCAATTAATACCACATCACCTGGCCACGCTGTAAAGATCTTTCCCACTCATCAAACTGAAAATGTAAAACACTTGACGGACTAAAAGTTTAGGCAGCAGCGAGTGTTTACGTATGCACGATTTTCCACTCGCTCGCATGACGTCTCTTATGCAAACTCTTGCTGTCTGTCCCTACACCGTATTTCTCCAGAAAGGTCAAGTCTGTATCTGAGCTGTCTGAAGCAAATGAGTATAGCAGGCCCTTCCTGGACAGAGACAAGAAACACAGCAGATCACAACGCAGTGGGGCCAACTCTGTATTTCAAAACCCACAGGACATTTCTGTGAAATCAAAAACAGCTGAATGCACAGCAGGGAATTTCCAAAGGAAAACCAAGGTGAGGCTCTGGGTTTTCACCTCTGCTTGAAAGATCAGAAGAACTGACCTTGATCACCCGGTGACCCAGCTGTTTCTTGTATGCATCTTGCCTAACTTTTGCAAAACTAAAATAGAGATTTTATTTTGAAAGAGACACCTTTATTATTAACGTTTTGGCCATTTTCTCACTTAAATCTAAGTTTACTGCTGGTGTCATTTATATTTCTCCCCTCCCCCACCCCATAACACCCTATTGTAACCTAGTTTTTTGGAAAAATTGGGAGGGGAGGAAGAAGGGACCTCTCATCCCCTGCCCCCTTCTTAAAATGGTTTGAGCCATTTTTTCCTGATCAAGTAGAACAAAATAAGTTACATTCAAAGGAGATAGCAAAACGCTGGTCATAAGGACAGCACCTCAGATGCAAAGGGGCTACCCATTTCCACGCATTTGCCCAACCACAGTCTTCTAAGAACCAACATTGGTGACAGAGTCCCTTCTGCTTTGTAATATTGAGCAAGACCTAGCATGCCTGGTAACAAGATAGAGAGAACCAGCCTGTTTGCAATACCCCAGTTATTTGTTAATGATAAACTAGATCTTGACTTCTGGGTTGTTTGCCCTGAACATACTGCTTATACGCTCCCTCCCAGTTGATCCCAACACAGATTTACGCAGAGTCGAGCCACAGCATACAGACTCCAGTGGTGATTCTCAAAAGCACTGCTTGTGGTGGACCCTGCCTGGATCAATGCTGTACCCAAAGCAACGGCTGGCAAGGGGAAGCCTCCGCCAGCCACGGGATACATTCGACACCCAGTCCAGGAGAGAGGTGGGCAAGTCTCGCTTGCATCCGTGCACGTAATCTGAATGCCAAATTATTCATCTATCTGGACCCTCAGCACGCAAGTTACAGGGTGGTTTTAGGACAGTTTGTGTGTGTTCATGAATGACACGAGCACCTGGAAATATACCTCTCAATATCACATTATTATACCCTCGTTGGGTCTCTCCCAAGATTGTCACTTGAAGACGGCCGCCTCGTGCTTCCTTCTTCAGATGGTCAGGAGTGGTATGCACCCCACACCAACCCCTCCTTCGTGACAGACCATGGGGGCCATGAACGTCCAGCGATTAGTTTCTGGGTCATACATTTCTACTGAATTGAGGTTGGACTGTCCGTCGTAGCCACCCACAGCATAAAGGCGGCCACAGTTTGCTACCAGGGAGACACGGCTCCGCCGGGTGTTCATAGGGACAATCAGGTACCACTGATCCGCCATGGAGCTGTAAACTTCAGCAATGCTGAGGAAGCCGGAGCCGTCGTAGCCCCCGCACACAAACATCTTGCTGCCCAGGGAGGCGGCTCCATGCCGACAGCGTTTGTTGAGCATGCTGGCGACGGGATGCCACGTGGCCGTGTGATGGTTGTAGTACTCCACCTGTAGGGAGCAGAGGAGGAAAAATGAGAGAGGACTCTCGCATTTATTCTTGCACTGGGGATTTCGCAGGAGCCTCCTCAGCCTATTCTGCTAGACACAGACAGTCTAGGAAATTTTTATTCTGCTTTCATAGATTTGGAGAATTTGGGGCCAAAAATACCATCAGACCATCTAGTTCGACTTCCTGTGCATCACAGGCTAGTGCATTTCTGCCAGTTAATCCTGTACCCATGCCAAAAACTTGTGTTTAACTACAGCAGAACTACCAGAAAGGCATCCAGCCGCCACGCAAAAGTCTCCAGAGATGGAAAATCCACTACAGTCCCCAGAAGCCTGTCTTCATGATTAAATTGCTCTGTTTCCTATTGGAAAGTGTCTGGTTTTAGCCTGAAGCCATTACTTCTCGTTAGGCCTTCTGACTTATACAAGGACAGTCGGGATAGCTCAAGAATGGAGTAGTCAGAATGAGTTTATACGTAATTTAAGGGACAGCATCTTCCTATAGCACTGGACAACTGGCGGAGCTCCAGCACAAACCTGACAATGGAGAGGGCCAGACAGGCAGGTAATTCCTCAGCCCTGTCCAACTTCCTGGGCAGGCTGCCTGATCAGTTTTTTGTAGGCTGCTAGGGAAGGCAGTAATAAGACAATATTACTGACCACCAAACCCTTTGGTTTGGGGGATCACAATCCAGAAGCAGCCAGACAAGACAGATTCAGGCCCAGAGAGCAGCACCTCTCTACCAAGTCAGACGGATCAAAAGCCTTTTACCTCCTACCACATTAGACATTCCCCGCAAAAATACAAGGAACTCTAGACATCAGAACCGAGGCTAGGATCACATGGGGAGCAGCTTGGCTATCCTGCCCCATCCACTGCTTTCACTCGCTGAATTTATTTTAAGGATCACCATGATCTCTAAAAGCATACCCCACAGGCAAAGAAAGGTGAAGGAATATAGTCTGGCACCTGGGACTTTTAATGCGCCTCAGCTATGATGGTGTACAGAGGAAAGGAGGGGGTAGTGACAACAGAATGTGTGCGCTAGTCTCACTTCTGCAGAAAATCTCAACAGTTAGTTGTGGACAGAAGAGAAAAGGCAGGGCAATTTCTCAGTCTAAATCTTCAACAACTGCCCAGCTCATTGACATACTTGCACAGGCAGCATCCAGGGCTAGGTCAAGAGGCGTTGTTGAGAATAATGAATCGGGGTTGCATACGCTTGGGCTGGGGAATGCTTGCTCAGCTCCAGCCCCCCTTTTACGCCTGCTCTGGTCAGTGAGGTTAGTCCAAATTTCATGCTCGCAAAACGAGGAGGAAGCCACATAGTGAGGAACAGTCAACAAGATTCCAACTTACGCTGCTGAAGATCTGTAAGCCGTCATGCCCTCCAGACACATAGATCCTGCCTTCAAACACCGCGACTCCGGCTGCGCTGCGGTTGGAGCTCATAGGGGTCACTACTGTCCACCTTACCAAGAGACGAGGAGAAAGGCAAATGCAGGATTCTTATGTAAGTACTGCTCATGTCCACACAGACATGCATACGCTGAATACACTGTCCCGCAGATTATCTAAAGGTTCTGCACATTGCTTAAGACTTAAGTACTGGGTTTTAGCATTTTCCACTTTGCTTCCCGGTAGTTTTGTGCTAAAACATCCCTCCATTCACTTCCTTTGAATTAAAGAACCTATTCTTAGCTCAGCACCAGGTGAAATATTGGAAAATAAAGGCTTTTCAAGTCTATTATTTCAGCTTATCTCTTTCAAAGAACGAAGCGGCAGCATCATATTTTGAAGCTCTTACTTGTCTGTTTCTGGCGAGTACGTCTCCACAGAGTTGAGGGATGAGTTTCCATCGTACCCTCCGCATACGTAGATCTGCCCATCCAGCACCACGGTTCCCATTGCACTGAAATCAATTTGACATTACCAGGTTAGATGGCTTTGACTCGTAAGAAAAGGCAAATCTCTGCCACGTGCTATGTTCTGCCACCGACATTCAGCTGTACAGAACCGAGTATCTGATAATCAAGATACCAGATCTAGCTAATGAACTACATAGTTACATGGCCTCTCTCATCAGAGCATTGATCAACAGTGGGACCGTAATTCATTAAGTCTGGAACTCCAATCAGTTAAGTAGCTTGCTGGACTTTGAGAAGCCTTTGCTATGAAAGATTTATAACCACAAATGTGCTTCAGCCCCGACCCAAAGGGACAGCTGCTAGGGAATACGACGTTTGTCCCCTGTTAACTGAGGAGGTCAATTAGTGGTAGGTGTTTTGCAAGCTACAAAATGGTGCAAAATGACAACTCAGCAGAGCAGATGGAGTCAACTACTGAGCTATGGTGGATTGAAAACAAGGATGTAAAGCAAAAGATTTGGGCTCTCATTACCTGTTAACCCAATGGTCCAAACCGTGGATTTTTACAGGTAACAAACCATAAGTGACCACAGTGCGAACACATGTTGTTCCAAAATCACTATGCTCCACACCTCCAAAAGACAAAAACCAGTTGAACTCAACAACCCTACTCCAAGTAGAGTCTCAACCTTGGAAAGGGGCAAGTGCCAGAGACTCCAGGAAACCCCACTAAGAATTTCTTTGCTGTGGCTGATCTTACGGGGAAAACCATCAGATCCCATGGTGATAGGCACTGCTATAAAACCTTAAGAAAAGGTAGGTGTTGCCTTGTGCCAAAGCCCGATAAATCACCTACTGTAATTTAGTAAATGAAGCACCTGGCACAACACAGACTTGGACACAAGATGCTCAGACCTAGCAGAATCCCACCCTGGAAACAAAGCCTCAGATTCACATTTATGTTCCTTACCAAGCCCCATTATTTCCTCTTGGTATTCATCTTGAATGTTAAAGCCAATATAGTACTGCAAACAGCCAACTGGCTTGAAATGAACCTTCAGTTAAGCTCTTCTCTCTACAGAAGCCTCTGGGACCACCCTGCTTGGCTTCAAAGGACTCTGCTGCAGAGCAGCTCAACCATGGTAAAGAAGTGGTTGCTGCTTATTGTGGGAAAGGCTCAACACTAGTGGGAAGCTTATAGCTATGGAAAACTGAACTTTCCTAGCATAAGTTAAACTGTGGGCAAGCTCACTGGCTGGAATTGGTCCCAGGAATTTATATAGGAGATCTTCCCTGGAGTCAGGCCTACAGCTTTGTTCAACTACAACATGACAGGCACCCTACTAACTCCTTGCTGGGATGCATATAGGATGGCGGAAAAGAACTTGCATGGTTTATTTGTGATATATAAGCACCGCTATTTCTGGGTCAGGCCACAGGTCCATCTTGCCCAGTTTCCTGCATCCAGGGGTGGATGCAGGGGGGAAGAGTGGGGTACGCTGGTGCACTGGCACCCACCTTCGATTCCTGGTCTATCCGAAGTTTAAAATCAAATGGCTGGTAGTGGCAGAGGTTTAGGTTGTAGCCGTGTTGGTCTAAGGACATAGGCAGACAAGGTTCCTTGAGTGAATTTGATATCTTTTATCAGACCAACCCAAATAACCTGGTAGTGGCAGAAGCATTTCAAGTCAGGAAGTGCTAAGGGGGTCCCTTGACTTCATGGTTTATTACAATCTACCCAATTCCTTCTAAACTCTTCATCCCACAGGTGTTAACGACCCCTTTTTAACGGTCTTGATGTGCCACCAGTCAAGCTATGCTTTGTTCTGCCATTCTGCCGTCTGTTCGCTGCTCCTGGTGATGAAGCTCCTATTTCACAGCCCTTTCAACTCATTCCAATGAAGTTGTATTTGTTCTTGCATCAATCTTAAACTGAATAACACAGCTCTGGCCCCCTAGCATATTTAGTAAAGCTTCTCGTTTCTTTTTAAACCAGAGAAGAACGTGTTGTTTTACATGCAAAGATTGCACCTCACGTCTGCATCCCCCGTTTCAAATTCTAGCTTTACCCATGCCCGTCTCTCAGTGCCAGAGAAGAGATACCAAAAGGGAGAGCGACCTAGGTCTGACCAGGGTTTTTTCCCCCCCACCGTTCCTCTCTCACTGCAGCCTCCAGCATTTAAGGTTTGGGAAGTTCTGACGTTGGCAGCAGATGGCTAAGGAAAAGAGGCAATCATGGAAGAACTGCTTTCATGGGTTTGTGGCTTGCTTATTCTCCACATATTCCCACTAATGCGAATGCAATCGGGCAGCTCAGTAGATGCACAGGACCTGCTCCACCCCACTCCCCACTGCGTCAAACACATATGCTAGATGCTTAAAATACCCCAAAAGACTTTTATTATTTTCTTTTAAACGTAGCACTGAAGCCTCTCTGACCAAATGCAACCCCAGCAGAGCCACCCTGCTGCCACCAAGCTTCAGGTTCCCACATGAGACATCCGATACTGGGATACATGCAGCACATTCCTCCCAAGTGATTCATGCTTGGAGCGACCACAAACCAAAGGGGACACACGTGCCTTTACAGCCCAGGAGAGCTGCAAGGCTTGCAAAAAGCAAACAATTGAGCAGCTTAGTGACCAAGCACCAGGAAAGAGAAGCCACAGCAAACACAATGCAAGCCACGAACATGTTTAAATTTGGAAGCGGTGAGATGAGCCAGAGGCTGTTTGTGGTGGGATGCAGCAAACAACTTAATAGAAGGGGGGCAACATCACTGGTTCCATAATGATGAGGTTTTTCCTGCCAAGTAACACCAGAAGATAATTCCTAGCTTGGTTGTGAACTGCACTAACTTCCCCTTGCTCAGCTGTAAGTTAACACACGCCCCATCTTGCAGAGCTCAGACTACAAGATCCCACAGCCTGTGCTCTCTTTTTACTTCCCAGTGCTGGAGCCTCCATGTTCAGGACATGTTTGTGAACCTCAGCGATGGAAGAAATCCAGTCTTCCATCATTGTGCCAGTTCAGGCATGTGCCTCACACCGTATTTTAGAGGGCTTCTACTCTAGGCCTGGGGAAAATCACTCTCACATCCTTATAGATCTTTTGCCTTTAATTTGACCTCACTCCTTGTGTTGTCTTGTGCGGCCATAAGTGATTATCACTAATGCTACTTGGGTCTTTTTAGGCTTCCATCCCACACTTAACCTGCTTAGACGTATGTAGCCGTTAATATCTTCCCGTCATAAGCCAACCCCTCTGGGCTCTGAATGCATTTTGATGCTGTTCTCTGGACTCTCGGCTAGCTAGCTGATCTCGTCACCAGAAGGATGTGCTCAGAAGGGAACATAATAATCCAAATGTGGTTACATCAGAGTCAGGCAGAGCCCAGCCACTTCCTCCCGGGGCCGTACCTTTGCACACAAGCCCAACATGCACACTAGTCTTTCCGTGACTACAAATACATGTCTCACCTCCTGAAAGTATCTGTCACTTCCTAGATCCCTCCCCTTTCCAGAGAGCCTTTCTGCCCTCTTCCCCTCCAATGCTTTGTGCACGAGGGAGTCGCTTTCTGGCATACCTCCGTTTGCTGTTCATGCTTCCCACTTTGGACCACAAATCCATCTCTGGGTTGTAAACTTCCACCGTACTCAGCCGCAACTGGCCATCGTAGCCACCGATGGCATACAAGAGTCCGTTCACCACCGCGACGCCCACTCGGCTGCGCGCCGTCGTCATAGGCTGGCACTTCTCCCAGTGATTGGCAATGGGGTCGAAGACTTCCACCACGTTCAGTGAATCACCTGCATAAAAATGTGCTACTCAAATTAAAAAGTGGCATGTGTTTCTCAGAGCCTCTGCTGAAGGGAGGCTGGAGCAAAGCTGTCAATTGGTTTCCAGGAAGTCCTTCCACACGTGGATAAGCAATACGGATACATGGGTTCTGCTTGAAACTTCAGGGGCAAAACTTATGCCCAGTGTCACATGCCCCTTGCCCAGACCCAACTGCTGACAGGAGGCAGCAGAGATGGGAATTCAGTCCTCAGGCTAAGGAAGCATATTGAGCCTCTCAGTGATTCCTGCTCCAGCCGTAGGGGTGACGTGCCCACCTCAGCCCTTGAGCAACTCCATTCCTACATGAAGGTCAACTGCAACAGGAACAGCTCCATCAGCCAACTGGACTAGTTCTACCTTGTCCTAGTGGAAAACTGCTGATTGTAGAGGGAAACCCTGCCTCACAATCCCAACTACTTGCAGACTCCTTCAGTTCTGCCTGCAGGTAGGGCCCTTTAAATGCCCAGAGGTGGTGGCAGGCTCTGGGGTTAATGGGCAATAATGATGGACTCCGTTGACACCCTGAAATCAATGCTTCATGTGTGCCAGCCTGGCTGACTTCAGCCTTCAGCAAGAGGGCACACAGATAGGCGAGCCCTAGGAGGCAGCTTTGTAGACGGGACATGCCAGGCAGATCTCAGCAAAGCACTGAATGGCACATACCTTGTTTTAAATGTCTACTGTAAATGTGTTACGGGTTTAAGCAGGTCAGCAGCTGCCCTTTGGAAGGGCTGTGATTAGCAACATTTCAGCTATCCCTTTCATCACATTCTTTGTTCCCAGACCAAAGCCAGACTAGGTAAGGGAGAGGGGTTTTGTGGTCAAAGTATATCTGAAAAGTTTGTTAAGGAAATGAGCACAGGCTTTACTGCACAGGGACCGCTCCTCTGACACCTCTGCACCGTTTTACCTGTTTCCTGCTTGGTTGCATCAATGCTGCCAATACATTGATTTTATTGTTGCCTTCAGGGTTCTCCCAATTTAAGATTTTAAAGGATGATTTAACAAGTCTGCGTTGGTGCCATTTCAAAGGAACCGAAAACAGTGCCCCTGAGCGAGCCGTTCAGAACAGCTAGAGTAAAAGAGGTTACAAACAACGGGCAACCGCTACCTGAAATGTTTGTGTTGGCTTGGTGGTAGGAGTGTCAAGGTGCTGTGGAAAAAAGGGAAGAGAAGGAGAAACTGCTCAACGTTGTGTGGGGCCAAGAACAACATTTACCACTCAATATGCCAAGTCACTCTCTGAAGTCATGGGGAGCGGATATGCAAGGTACCTGCTGAATTAAGTCCTCCCACTGCATAAATTAATCCCGCGATTGAAGTGCAGCATCGGGGACGGGTTTTGAATGCTGGAAGGTGGGGCCGGCGCTCTGGCATTAGGTGATAGTCTTTTGCCTCGTCGACGAGGTCCCTAGAAATAAGATCAAACAGCAAGATGATAGTTTGGTGGGGCATAGGTCTTCCGTGAGGAAGACTGCCATTTTACCAGCCATCTCTGTTGAGACTACCACTAATTATAGCAACCTTTGAGTCTGTTCTTTCAGAAGATGGCAGGCTCCCTTGGCAGAACAGCATGCGGAAAGCTCTCTTCTACTACCCGTGACATTTTGGTCCACAGAGGCTGAACGGTAGTTTTTAGGACTAGTCATCCAACACCCCCTCTCGGCCCTGAAGCTACCACTACTTGTTGGCTGGTTCTTCGGTCACCCATATGCACACACCTGCATTTATGGCAGCAGCGGACAAGGTCATCTTGTTGCACGCGGTCAGTGAGGAATTGAGGTCGACAAAGGGGCAGTCGGATTTTGGACAGCAGCTCAGGCAAGAAGGTTTCCCTCTGATCTCGGTCGTACCGTATCCAGGCCAATGCAGCTTCAAACACCTGTCAGAAGAGAGATGAGTGAGTTCTTCTCAAGGTTCTTGCTTTTGCTGTTCTCTTGTGTGGGGGGGGAGGTCTTGTTTTCTTGCTTTTGAGGCAGCTGTCATGAGGATGGCTGAAGGAAACTTAACTAGCTGTCAATAAATAAATGGTCTTTTGGGGGCAACCTGTAAGCAGGAGGTAGAAGCTCCTCAAGGAGTTCAGGTCAATGAGCTCACCCTCTTTCTCCACTTACGGTCCACTAGGTCTCAACACCCAGGCCACAGAGCTCTTTCTTCCCCATCCTCAGCCAATATCCTTTTGATTATGGACTACTGCAAAGACCACTAAGGCTTCCTAATTCACTACAAGGGTCTGTAACAATACAAGATGGGGCATTTTTCCCTAGGGCTTAGCTTTGGCAGTTCTTCCCTCACTCTACAATGGCCCTAGCAGGTTGACTTGCTGGATACTTAACCTGGATTATGGTGGCCATTGACCTTATTGCACTTAAACCCAAATGAACGAATACATGTAAAGTCACTGGCCCATTGTAATTATACTGTTGCCATTGCAATCAAGAGGTTACATTGGCCTGAAGAGCAGGAGACAGGAATTTGAAGTGGGATCTTTTTGCTGAGCAGGGTTAACACCATAAAGGCAGGCTGCTTTAACCAGTTTAGCCTCTCCTGCCCCAGGAACTGAGCTTTCTATCTTCTTGCAAAGATTTTTCTGGTAAACTAGTGTGTGTGTCTGTGGTTGCCACTGCCACCTCGTGGTATAATCTTGCCACTGAACAGGGCACTAACCAGGGTGCACACATTCACGCTGGGTGGTCCTGTACCACAGCTGGTGGCTCTGGAGAAAATGTGAATAGTTGCCCGCATCAGCAGAATCTTTTAAAAGCCTTTTCACTGACGCTGGACAAAGCCAGAACCTCCCACTTCAAGCCTCGAGGCATTTCCTCCATGAAAAGCTCGTGTTTCACCCCGTGGACAAACGAAGCAGAATGCTACACCACATGAGAATGCATTCATCTCTACAGCAGCCACGAAGCACAACAGTTAGAAGGGAAAACTTCACCAAAGGCACTTGGACAGAGACCTCCTCTCCTGGGAGCTGCGGGACTGCCTCAAATAGGACCTCTATAAAGAAATTTGAAAAAACACCAAAAACCACAATTCACCTGCCTTTGATGCAGAAATGGTCGAGTGAAACATGTCTGGACTATGGAGTTCCCTTGTAGTGGGTCATTTCAGACCTGCAGCCAGGCCCAGCCTTTCTTTACAGGGACACTTGTAGAAGTCTGATACTTCATCAGGAATAGCCCCATCGTGAGCTACCAAAAGCTGGCTGGGGCCTTGGCAGTGGGTGGGAGAACCAAACGGCTGTATGTTACTAGCTGAAGCCCAGACCAAAATCAGTACAGTCAGGAGTTCAGGCTGTTTAAAACGGCTTTGCTTCTTTCAGTTTAGCTCCTTAAGGAAATGGCTCCGTGCTAGGGAAGTCACCACTCTTAACTTACTCTCTCATTGGCAGTAGGGTTGTTATACAATTCTAAAAGGAACCAATTATTCACCCTCAGTACTGTCAGAATGGAGCTGAAACATGCCAAAGCCTTTACAGCCATGATCTATGCTGTAGTTATTATAGGAATTACCTCCAGGGCCAGCTACCCAGTCTCTTTCACCTGAACCAAAAGTCAACGATTGAAACAGAGGTGCAGGGTTCAGGTCTTAAAGAGCTTATTCTCTGCTACTCAACATTTCAATGCATGTCAGTGCAATAGCTTCTAAAAACTGCTGCCCGTGGACCCTTTCCAGGAGTGCTTCCAAACCAAGCGTTTTGGAAGCAAAAAGACACAGCAGTCAAAGGCTCCTTTCAAGGCAAAGCTATTCCTGCTATACCATACGCCAGCTGCACAGGCCTACCTGCTCCTCTGACTTGACATTGAGCTCGTCCCTTGAAACCAGCTCCAGGACATCTTCAAAAGGCAGCGTGAGGAACTCCTCGGACATGGACACCTCCACAAAGTGCTGGTGGATGAAGCTATTGGCAGAGTCGTAGAGCACCGCGCACATCATCGTTTCTGCAAACTGACGCACTCCCAGGCAGTTCTTTGGGTGAAGTCTGAGGGTCACAAAAAACACCACCCGTAACATTAATGGTGGGTTGGAGAGTTTACTGGTTTTCATGTAGTTCAAAGGAACAGTGGACGTGAAACTGAGCACAAACAGGATGAAACCAAAAGATATGCCTCACTGGGGCTGAGGGCAAAGGTGGGGCAGGTCTCTCATCTCACCTGACCATTGCGTGTAAAGGCACGAACATTAAAGAGGAATTTGTGCCAAATGAAGGGGACAGGGATCTCTGCGTATGAGCCAGGATAACAGTCAGCCCCATGATGGGCCTTCTCTGGTGTGTCCAAGGCTGACTTGACCATGAGACTTGACCTGCTCCCATCCCTAGTGGTGGTCCCAGTGATCAGCACAGCGATGCACTGGTAATCGGTACAGCAAGCATCAAGACCGGAGGTGCTTAACCTCAACTCCTGCCATGTCATCTGGCCTGCAGAGCTACCCACAGGTCCAGAAATTTGGCGGCAGGAGAGGGTGGCACTGCTCCCCTACTGCCAATTTCTGGGTCCATGGGGAGCCCTGGGTCTCTGCCCACTGGATTGGGCACCTGGTCCCTGTGCCCAGCACTGGGCAGGGGCAGCACCCAGCCCTAGTGCCCAATCCTGACACACGTGGGGCTTGGAGAGGGCAGTGCAGGACCCCCAGGGACCAATCCCAGAATGCAGAGACAGGAGGTGGGTGGTGCTGGGCCTCAGGGCTCGCTCCCGGTACCTGAGACAGGGAGGGGATAGTGCTGGGCTCCAGGGCCTGATCCGAGAAAGCAGGGCCATATCCAGCCCACAGGCTGGCTCCACCCACTCATCTGGTCCACAGGGCCAAAAGGGGTAGCACCACTTATCTACATAATGGCCCATCTACTTCCTCACTTGACAGCAGTGAAATCAAGCTAGCACCTTGTATCTACATTTCACCTGGGCCAGAGGGATAAAAATTAAAAGGTACGGCAAAGATACCCACAGAGCTGAACACCCTCAGGCACTGATGTGTGCTGCTTGTTTCCGCTACACAACTGACCTAGCCCTGCTTATAAAGCTGCATCATTAAGGACATCTTTTAAAGGTCAGAGCACAGAAGCGAGCCGTGCAGAAAACAGCTAGCGATCAGCCCTGCTAAACCACTAGCTGCAGCACAGCCACTATCTAGCAGCGCCAATGGACTGAAAACGTATTGCTCTACACAAGGATGCACTTGCTGAAAGGAGATTTCTGGACAGGTACATATGGGGGGTGGGAAAGGTATACATTACAGGAGGTCCCGTCAGAGAGAAATTGTCCCCGATACAGGTGTAGGAATTCAGTGGAAGATAGCAATTCAAACCGTTTCATAGCATGTATCGCCAAGATCACTGAATCATTGGAAAGTTGGGCTGGAAAAGATCTCACAAGGTCATCTATTCCAACCCCCTGCTCCAAGCAGGACCAGCCCCAACTACATCATCCCAGACAGGGCTTTGCCCAGCCACATCTTAAAAACCTCCAAGGATGGAGAGTCCACAGCCTCTCTGGGTAACCTATTCCAGTGCTTTACTAACCTCCCCATGAGACAAATTTTTCTTAAGATCCAATTTAAACTTCCCTTGCTGCAACTTGAGCCCATTGCTCCTTGTCCCGTCATCTGCCCCCACTGAGCACAGCCCAGCTCCATCCTCTTTGCAGCCCCCCTGCAGGGAGGTGAAGGCTGCTATTCAATCCCCCTTAGTCTTCTCTTCTGCAGAATAAATCAGCCCAGTTCTCTCAGCCTCTCCTCACCACTCCTGTCCCCCAGCCCCACAATGATTTCCATTGCCCTCCACTGGACTCTCTCCACTGTGTCCACATCCTTTCTGTAGTGGGGAGCCCAAACTGGACATGGAAAGCCACATCTGGAGTCCTCAGTGCTGAATAAAGGGGAAGAATCACTTCTTTCCATCTATTAGCAACACTCCTACTAATGCAGGCCAGTAAATGAACAAATTCTTCTTAATATCCAACCTTAATTTCCCCTGCTGCAGTCTGAGGCCATAACTCTTAGTTCCGTCTCCCAAAAGTCACAGAGAAAAGCCCATCTCCATCCTCACTGTGATTTCCCTTCAGTTATTTGAAAACTGTTATCAAATCCCTCCCTCTCCCCCACCTCAGTCTCCTCTTCTCCAAACTAAATAAACCTAGCTCTTCTAGTCTTTCCCCATAAATGATGTTTTCTAGGCCTCTAGATGAGGGGGGGCACCAGCAATTCAGGAAGGACACAGCTGCATTCATAGATTCATAGGTGTTAAGGTCGGAAGGGACCTCAATAGATCATCGAGTCCGACCCCCTGCATAAGCAGGAAAGAGCGCTGGGTCTAGATGACCCCAGCTAGATACTCATCTAACCTCCTCTTGAAGACCCCCAGGGTAGGGGAGAGCACCACCTCCCTTGGGAGCCCGTTCCAGACCCTGGCCACTCTAAGAGGAGAGAACGTAAATGTTACCGGTTTGTGAAAACATGTTGTATTATGCTTGCTTCACCATCAAGTCAGCTCTGCAGAATGAAATGTTCAACCATTTCACCAGTTGCAAATAAATCAGGGCAAATGCAGTGGGTTATAACACAAGTCACCCGCTGCATCAGCAGCAGAGAAGCTGCTGTGATCAAAATGCAGCGATGCATGACTGCACAGAGATTGGGGACCACACCTTTGTGTTTAAGAGCGTGAAGGCTGCGTGTCGCTGTAAGAGATTGTGAGCTGCAGTGGGTTCAGAGGGGATGCTTCAAACATTTATCCTTTTTAAGGGTTTTATTTTAGACCTGACAGACAAGGTTATGTGGGTAAATGTGATATCTTTTGTTAGACCAACTACATAGTTGGAAAAACTGTTCTTTGCAAGCTTTCAAACATAAAAACCCTTTTCCAGGCATATAGGGGGTCTGCATATTTTAATTTTAGACCTGGCACACTTGACTTGTGGTAAATAAACCAGAAGGGCAAAATCGTGCAGTCTCTGGGAGGAAAAGAGGAGGGAGGAAGCGCTACTCTGTGACTGCAGTTTTGGCTTTGCTCTTCTAAACAGGTAATAGTCAAGAGCTGTAGCTTTTACATTACACATCGGCCATGGACGGGCATTTGTTTCTAGTGCTAAAAATTCTTGGTGCTTGGAAAATAGTTCAGGAATTGCAGTGCGCACGTGCTCCAGACCCCTGGCTGGACAGCTACACGGGTAAGCTCTCCAGGCAGGGGGCACTAGAAAGCTGCTCCCTGGACCATCCCTGCCCTTAAGGGAGTCCACTAATTGATAGCCTGCCCTCTCCCTTGCCAGGTAAAGGGACAGCCTGTCAACAGCTGCTGAAAAGCAGCAGCTGCCATGGACAGCTTGTCCACGCCTGGGGGGAGAATTGTTCTCCTCGCCCCTTCCACTCCCTGCCTGCTGCACTGAGAGGGCTGCACGGAGGCGGAGGTATTGCCTGGGGCTGGATCCCTCCCAGGGCTCTGAAGCTGTTCACACCATGGGAAAACACCCATCAGTCCTTGTCAATCAGCTCTCAGAGCCGTGGAAGAGTTGCAGCCCCAGAAGTGTCCTGTCACCCCACCCACTGCAGGGATCTTGAGTGACCCAGGTCTGTTCAGGGGATGGGGGGCATTGGCACTCTTGGCAGAGCCCCCAAAGGACCTTGAGCAAGCTATTGGGAGCCAGTGCTCTCACTTGGGACACCCCAAAAAAGATCTTATTGGTTAAAAGGCGAACTTCCTTGCCAAAGAGCTATTCGTCTTCTGCAAGAAACCCTAAAATAGCTGTATGCTCCTTTGCTGTGCTAAGAGAAAGGCTTTTCTCCTGGCACAAAGTTTAACACCTGTCCACGGCTGCAGCTTCAGTTCAGAGTGTGCCCAAAGAGCCGAAGAGGGAAGGGGCAGCAAAACCTGGTGCATGGGACCTGATACAAAAAGGGCTTAAAAATCCAAAACAGTGTATTTCCCAATGCAGTGATCCAAGAGCACTCAGCAAAGCAAGGAGCTCGAAGGTGCAGGTGAAAAGTTGGTGGGAACAGCCACTGTGCACCAAAGAAGAGTTTACACAGCCTCCGACTTCGCACCATCACAGCATATGGATGTGTCACCAAAACATAGAAAATCACAGTGATTAAGCTAAGGAAAATCCCGAGTTGTCACAATCTTCCTCTTTGAATGGAACGTAGCTGCTCCAGAGCCTCATAAAGCCAATGCTCAGAGTCCATATATACTTGAAGATACCTTGTGATTAGTAAAAATATCAGTTGCTCACTTGTATCTGTTAGGACCTTTGTCACATTGGGCAGATACTCAGAAGTGCTCAACACAACCAGCTCTTCTCCTTAGTGATGGGGTGAGTGGGGGAAAGAACTCAGCACTCATGACAAGTCTATTTATTAAGTGACTAGTTAGGCATTTGAGGGCCTAAAGCCAGCTGTAATTCTTACGCAGTATGATCAAGCGCTTTCTATTCAGAACTAAGTCCAATGTCCCAAAATTGCATTTTCTTGATGAACAAACAACTTGTTATTTTAATTTCTATTTTCGTTGCGTTATTTCAGGATCACACTGCAACGCTTGGCTTGCAATTGTTTGGAAACGGAAACATCTGGGAGACAGCCGAGATGCATCTCATGTCTTAAAGTCCATGATTTGGAGAAATGTCCACTTGGGATGAAAGCTGGCCAATAGATTGCATTTGCTCATACACATTTGGTGCAATATTGTGCAAAACTTATGCATACAATCATAGACAATGAGGGTGGGAAGGGACCTCAGGAGATCACATCTAGTCCAACCCCTGCTCCAAGCAGGACCAGCTCCAACTACATCATCCCAGCCAAGGATTTGTCTAGCTGGATCTTAAAAACCACTATTGGTGCAAAACAATACAACATTGTGGAGTGTATCGAATGGCTGCATAAGAAACAGGACTGGTGTACTGTAAAACTAAGCTGATCAGACACCACCAATAATACATGAGGGATGTTTCTTAATTGGACTCCATTGACTGGGGATCTTATTCTTCATGGCTAATGGTTACAGCACTGAATTAGGATTTGGAAGACCCAATTGTGGTCTCCCCAGTGACCTCTTGGGAAGCTCATTTAATCTCTCTACATATGCTTTTTCCATATGCAAAATAGGAATGGTTCTTTGTTTCATGGGATAAAAACTGGGGGGACAAATTCAGTGCTGTTTGAGGTACTATCGGGACAGCAGCAAAAGTACCTAATTTGCTAGAACCCCAGGGAAAATATTTGATGGACAGATATAAAACTGTGATAAAATTGTTTTGCTATTTCCAATAAGACAAAAGTTTGTAAAGAGGTGCAACAGAATTGTCGTGCCCTTAGATTCATTGTACCGAATATCTTGCTAAGTGCTCTGAAGTATTCCTGTTTAGCTTTTCCCTTTTTCAGTTCTAAATCTAAGGCAAGGTGGCCAACCTGAAGCCTGCAGCTATAAGAGGCACAGGCAGCCCCTGTGTGTAGCATGCAGCGGATCAGGAAAGGGACAGGCAGCCCAGCTGTAAATAGGGCAGAAAGCAGAGCAGCACATCAGGCAGGGGAAAGGGAAAGGAATCAGTGGCAGTTGGGGAGAGTCTGGGGCTAATCTGCTCTGTCACATGCTTGCCACAAAGGTTGCCCCCACTAAGGGAACATTTCCTTTGTTCCAGATAGTCATTCTCACGGTCATCCCTTGTCTACATGCTACAAGCTGCTGTCCAGTTTAAGAGAGGGAATTACAGCGATCAAGTCCACATCCGCCCTTCACCTGTGAGATACTTTGCTTCCTCCTGACTCAGCCACAAGCAGCTGGTAGGAAGGATCACAGCTTAGCTTCCTGTCCGCAGGACAGCACTTTATCTGCATAAACCAAGTTTTCTAATTTCTCTCTCGTTTTGTCTTTCTTTCTCTCAGAACAAATTTAAATCTACAACCCACTATTGCTTAAGTGCTGCAGGCACCAGGGTGGGTGAACAAATCAAAGGCATGGAACATGGCTCGCTCTACATTAGCTGTTACCACGTAGGAAAGATATTCGAGAGTCATTGTGGACACTTTGCTAAAAACATCAGCTCGGTGCTCAGCAGCCATGAAAAATGCAAACAAAATGTTAGCGGTTATTAAGAAAAGAACTGTAAGCAAAACTGCAAGTATCGCTTCCCCCCTCTACAAACCCACAGTGTGTCTACATGCTGAATACTGCCCAGTTGTGGTCCCCACACCTCAAAAAGGTATAGAAGAATTAGAGAAGACACAGAGAAAGTCAACAAGGAGGATGGAGGGGCTTCCATATGAGGAGAGACTAAAGAGGCCAGGCCTGCTCAGTTTAGAAAGGACATGAGAAGGGTTTACAAAATACTAAATACTTCACTGAATGGTGAAGAGAAAGTCAATAGAGATTTACTGTTTCTCACCATACAAAAAGAGGGACCACAACATGAAACTAGGAGGCAGTCAGTTTAAAACTAAAAGGAAGTTCTTCACCCAGCATGTCATTAACGTGTGGCACTCACTGCCACCGGATGTGGTGGAAGCTGACAGCTCAAGCTGGATTCACAAAGGGACTGGATGCATTCCTGGAGGAAAGGGGCATCAGCAGCAATTGAGCACGGGAGTTAGGGATACAGCCTCTTGTATCAGAACTTCCTAGACCTTAAATGCTGGAGACTGCAAGTGAGAGAGGAACAGTAGGAAAAACCCTGGTCCTACTCTGTCCACTCTTCCTTTCTGCATTCCCTCTCTGTCGCTATGACACAGGAGACTGGGCAAGTCGGGCCTCGGGTCTGACCCAGAAAATGGAAGGCCTCATGTTGTTATGCAGTAGCCTTACCTCTCTCTGAGAAAGGTGCAGCAGGCATCCTTGATATTTTGCAGCTGAAGGAAACTTGCCCCCATCAGCAAAGACTGAACGTTCTGCTGATCTATTGCAAGGTGCCCGTTGTAGGCAAAGTTGATCAGAGCCTCGAGTGCACTAAATGGAGCAGGGAAGACCAGAAAACAGTCAGTCAGTTACATCCAGGAGATGAATTTCAAGTTGTTAACAAATGATGACAGCAAGAGAGTTTTAACGTGCTCCTATAACACACACATTTAAATCCAACGATTTGCATTTGTCATGCACAGAGTGACAAAAATACCGACAAGCTGTAGAGGTGTTGTCTCTCGGCTGTCCCTGGAAGTTACCTTGGATCCATTCCCTGCATGACAATCTCGTCCTGCTTGCACTCCATCATATCATTTGTAAACATGGCATGGAAGTAAGGGATGGAGGCCGCCAGGACGATCCGGTGGGCACTGAACTTGTGGTCCCCTACCTAGAAGGGATAGAGGAAAGAGAAGGGGGACAATCAGCACAACTGTTGGTATGGATCAGGGGTGACTAAGATCCAGTCGACAAACTGGGTCCAAACCATGGAGTGGTGTCATCCAGCAGGGCTCCCTGTAGATCCATATACTTGGCAGCAGGAAAGCAGTGGAGGCAATCTTAATTGCTGACTGACCCTGGGACTGGCCCTGCACACTGAAGCCAGCCTGCAGGGCCACAGGGGATGGGCACCGCTGATCTAGATGATCCGTGATGGGGTCCTGCCACTATTAAAAGTGATTAGGGACTGAGACTACTAATACAAAAAAGTATCAGACTTAATGTCCAAAGGTCTGGTGCTTAAATGTCCCCTAAACAGAAAACTGAGTACCTACAGCTCCAGTTAAAGTCAAGAAGAGCTCTTTGTGCACTGAAAATAAGCTACTACTTTTTGGGTGCCTAGACATATGTCATATAATCATAGAAAATGAGGGCTGAAGGGACCTCAGGAGGTCACATCTAGTCCGACCCCCTGCTCCAAGCAGGACCAGCCCCAACTACATCATCCCAGCCAAGGCTTTGTCTAGCTGCATCTTAGAAACCTGCAAGGATGGAGACTTCATCACCTCTCTGGGTGACCTGTTCCAGTGCTTCACCACCTTCCTCGTTCCAATATCCAACCTCAACTTCCCTTGCTGCAGCTTGAGCCCATTGCTCCTTGTCCTGTCATCTGCCCCCACTGAGAACAGCCCAGCTCCGTCCTCTTTGAAACTGCCCTGAAGACTGCTATTCAATCCCCTCTCAGCCCCCAACCTTCAGCACTACATCCAGCTTCCCCTCCTCACCAGGCAGTGCTCCTGCTAGATCAAATCACGTATTAACAGGAGGATCAACTCCAAACTGTGAACAACCAGAGACCACATCCACAAGGTCTTCGATGTTCAATTCACTGGTTGAATATTGCATAAAAGTGCCACTGCCGGATGAATTTCCCCTACTAGCTTCTGCATAGGAAATACCGCCGCTGTTGCACATACCATTCCCCCACCCCCCCGCACAGCTTACAACCATGATTTTCACATTACCCATCTGCTCCCAAAACACCCTCCGGTCCGGAAGCCTGCAAGGTCTGCTATGAATCACAAATTCCAGTCATTCCAAAGAATTAAAGATGGGCTAATCACCCACCAGCTCCCCCTCCCCGGCCAGTCCTTCCAAGCCAATGGCCAGCTACAATCTACATTTTTATTTCTGGACTTCCACATTGTGCTTTCAGGCCACACTGCTGCTTTCAGTCATCCTCATTGTGTCCCAAATGCTCACTGGCTCATTTTCTTTCCGTCTAATGCCATCTTCCCCTCCACCATCTCTAGTGGATCCATCAGTGCTCGTTTTCTCCATGCCAGCTCTTTCCTAGTAGTCCACACTAGCTTTTTCATAGAGCACAAGTAGCTCATGCTAGCTCTTTTACAGAGCCATAACCGGACTCTCATTTCTAGCCTGTGCATTAGCAAAAGGTCTGTTTGTGTCTTTTTGCCCTATCACTGCAGCCTTAACTCCAAGAGCAGGTGGACAAATGATCCCAGAGAAGAGTCACCAAAGTTAGCAATGAGCTGCTTAGCAGCGAGATGTCCAAACGAATAGCAGATTATCAATGCCGTGCAAAATTAATCAATTAAATATTTTCTTGAAATATCCTTAAGCTATTATTACCTTTAGCAGTAAGTTTTAATATTCTATTTACCATCAAGAGGCTTACTACATCTTCCCATTTCTACAACTTTCATCCTTAGGAAAAAAAAATTAACACGTGAACCCAAATCATTAGGTTATATAGATGCTACCTCACCTCTTCTCAACGCTAACACGATAAAGTCACATTTTTATAGAAATGTGATAAGTCCCATCTGTACCTAGGAAGAAATTTCCATCTTTGGCCTGCTCAAACTTATCGAGCCTGAAAAGGATCAAGACAGTTTCAGGGCTCTAGAAAGCACTGCCAGAAATACCACGCACAAGGTCCAATCTGCAAGTATTTCCTTTGTTATTTTTCCATCACACAAGTCACATGAATATGTTGCTATATCACTTTCTATATGACTATATGGGAGCCTTGATTTACGCAGTACTTATTTCCTGCCACTGTGAGCTTGGATTGAGCCAAATGAGATACAAGCACCAGACGACAAAGCAGGAGACCAAACACACTGGGGACAAAGACGAAGGACTTCTTATAAAGAAAATGAGAGCGAGGGCTTGGATGCAATAATGGCAGCATGAAAAAAAATACAGGAAGAAAAGTGGGGGGGAAAGGAGGCAATGGGAGGAACAGAAGTGGAAAGACAGGGCGTGCACCCATCTTTAGGGAACGCACTAATAAACCCACGTTTATTAATGCTCTTTTGCTAATGCACATTAAATTTAATACCTCCATTGTGAGGCGCTAGAAAAAGGCACGTTAGCCTATCTGAACATGCATTAGCAAAACCCACACGTTTTATGATGCTTTAATGCACATTAAAATAAGCTAATGCGCATGAAAGTGCACATGTAAATGCACCAAAGGGGATCAGAAAGGGTTTAGAAATGGGAACAGCTAGGGCCCGGCTACACATTCAAATGAAAGCTGGACAGAAACCAGCTCTAGAGTTGTCACCCATTTTCAAGCACTAACTTTATAGCTGGTTGGCTCTTTTTATAGCTAGAGAGGCATTTTTATCCTGTGATAATTACTTTGTACTTGTGGCTGGTCTAAAATTTATTTTGCCGCAGACCAGTTAATTGCCTAATATATGTAACATGTAGCAGGGGCCGAAGATCTGACACTTTTGTAAGGATGCGAGTAGACAGAGCAAGAGCAGCAAATGCGATCGACTGTGGTAGAGGTCAGGAGATGGGGTGGGAGGGGACCGTGGCTGGACAGATGGAGCGATGCGGCATGGTTGAAAAGGAAGTTCTCCATCATCTGCAGCCTGAGCACACCTGGTGCGCAGACGATGCTTAATCAAAGCAAGAGAAGACCAGGGTTTTCAAGCAAGGGGGGAAAAAGTTAAGTTTTGGGGAGATTACAGAAAAAAGTCACAGCACCTAGTCAAACCAAGTAGGTAGCAGAGCTGTTTGGGCTGTAGTAACTAGGGGGACATATTTCTACCAGCTTGGCTTTGGTGCTTATGGGCCCTCATTACCACTGTCCTGGTCCACCGCATCCAAAAGAGATGGGGACCTCGGTCACACGGAGGCAAGTGGTTTGCTCGAGGCTCACCTAGGCAGTCTGCGTTATTGAACCCAAGTCTCTAGAGTTGCAGCAAAGTGCCTCACCTAAACATTTGCACTGATTTTAAGAACAAGGGTCCCTGCTGTGGTTTTATAAAGCCATTTTTGCTTGGAAATGACCCAGGGCTGTGGGCCTACACTACCCATTCAACACATACACACCAGCACATTAAGATAAAAGATAGGGCTTATATGAGAAGCCCACAGACAGGAAGAAAGTGGAGTCAAAGAACTGCAACCCCGCAGAAAGCTTATGCATTGTGAAAAGCCTAATAACCCCAGAGACTCTCTTGATGCTTTTTGTTTCCCATTAGGGCCAATGACCCAGCTGTACATGTGCAAATATCAGAGAGATCTTTTTTCTGGACAATCACTTTCATGTACATAAAGTGAACACGCAATATGATGACAAACTCCAGGTTATCATAGAAAATGAGGGTTTGGGAGGGACCTTGGGAGGTCACACCTAGCCCATCCCCCTGCTCAAACCAGGACCAGCCCCAACTACATCAGACGGCATTACATGGTGTATGGCATTACACACACGCATAAGGAATTGCATAGTACATGAGAAGAACATGAATATGAAAATCTCCACCAGCTTGTAGTTAAGGCCCCCCATTTGGTGGCCTCGTGTGATCCTGGGGTCTCTTTTCTGATCTCTACCTGCCACAGACTACTCACATGACCATGACCCAAGGGAGTCACTTCTATGCCTTAATTTCCCCACCTGAATCATGGCATTAATTATGACCTTCCTCACAAGAACAAAAGATCATGTTCTTACAGCACTAAAATCAACAGTACTGCAAGAATCAGAACTAGCGAATGGCAAGAGAAAGCAGCAGTGTCACTGGGTTTTGGGGAAAAAACCCTACATTTTTTTTTGTTTTGTTTTGTTTTTTAGAGAAGAGGTCTCAAAACATCATAGTCCTGACCCTCCAAATGCTGGCTTTCCTTATGGTGAAGCATCCAGAGGGCCAAATTATACTGCCTCGAGGCTGAGCTGGTAAATGGTGCCATGAAATATATGATACCCAGTTACTCCCAACACCGCGAGTGTTGGATTCTAGAAACAAATGTAAGCCTCCTTCAAAAGGATTCATGGTCTATATGCCATATCTAATCCTGTAGGGCATTTAGATCAAGCCAAGCAACCCAGTACATGGTGGTGGCAGAGTAATTAAGGCATCTTGCCACGGCTCCCAAAAGCATGAGTTCAAAGCTCTGCTCGGGGCTCGTGTTGAAGGCTGCACCCAACCAACTCGGCTGCCCGCGGGCACCCGGCCATTTGGGCTGGGGAATCAAAGGCAGCTGGATGCAAAGCTTGCCATATCACTCCCTTTGGAGGTGGGAGCACTCCCTGTGTACTGTTGGCTGCCTTAACGATGCTCACCTGATAAAGGTCCACCCAGGTGAACAGCTCAACTATCAGATCAGCACAGTATATATGCCCCAAGAACATATGCCCAACGGGCATCTTAACCGCACCAGAAATGAGTGCAAAAGTCTTTGTTTTAGCCCTTCAAAGACTTCCTCCAAGCACCTCTTGAAACAGCCTAAGCCCATCAGACCAAGACAGCTCTATTTGATGTCCTAAAAGTATAGCGTCTTCACTACCACGAGGTTTTAGCTGGTTAAAGGCTGCACTGAACCCTTTCTGCACTGCCAGCTTCACCGTATTTGCAATGCTTTGCTGTTCAACAGAGCTCGGGAGTGTCCTGAAAGGACGTTTCCTAGTTCCACCGAAGGAGCCAGAAATGCCGCTTGTGGAAGGATGCCCTTATGGGTCTGTACAGGAATCAGGAGGTCAGCTGTTTGATCCAGTCTCCAGGCAGTTCAAACCCAGACGTAGACAACTGATGCCTTACAATATCCCCAGTCAGATATATACTGACAATACAGCCTCCGACGGTCTGCTTAATTTTGCTAAATTCCTGGCATGCGTTCCCTATGCACGCCCACGTGACCATCTCACCTGAAAAGTGATAGCGCTAAACATATAGGAGAAGACAGCAATTAGAGCAATGTTCACCGCACACCTTTTCCTAGGATATAAAAGGGAACTGCTTAAAACACCAGGGACATTACAGAGCCCATAATTAAAAATAAAAGGCTCTACTTCTTTGGGACCTAGTTCATACCTAATCGGACTTTAGCAAAGAACCTCCCACTTCAGCAGCTGTTTTACTGGGGTAGGATTTGGATAGGAATAGCAGCAATTCAGGAGGACTGAAACAAGGAGTTAATTGTTCAGCTAGCCTGCATACCAGAGCAGCAGCTCAGCCATGTCAGACCTGTTGAGCAGGCTCTGCTTTCTGAGCCCTTCCTACATGTCTGAAACTACGCTTGGGTTAGTCATGCCTAAACACAGCTGTTGCAAGCCCATTTCTCCCAAACCAGCACAGGGAGGTATACCTTTTCCATTAAGGAGGCTCTAATGAGACTATAACTTTTGGGCCAACACAGCTGGGCCAGCAGCTGGACAGTGTCCTAGGATCTCTGCCATTTCACAGGGATGGATCCTTTTCTCCATCTATGGTACGCCAACAGCTCCCCTTCATCACAGCATCTCAGCACTTCACAATCTAATGTGAGGTAGGAAAGTACTACTAACCCCCATTTTACAGAGGGGGGATTGCAACAAAAAGGCTAAGTGACTTATAGAAAGCCATCGAGACTGCAGCACAGTAGGGTTATAACCTGACGTCAGCACAGCATTCATTTTTGGAAAGGAAATGCATTTAAAATTAAATTTAATGCAATAACGATCCAAGGCTAAATCCATTAAAGAAAGGATGTGGACAAACTGGAGAGAGTTCAGTGGAGGGCAATGAAAATGGTTCGAGGGACCGGGGACAGGACTGGTGAGGAAAGGCTGAGGGAATGGGCTGATTGAGTCTGCAGAAGGGAAGACCGAGGGGGATTGAATAGCAGCCTTCACCTCCCTGCAGGGGGGCTGCAAAGAGGATGGAGCTGGGCTGTTCTCAGTGGGGGCAGATGGCAGGACAAGGAGCAACGGCCTTTTTACTACTTCATTCAAAGCTGAGAAACCAACTGGGAATTGAAAGAGCAGGAAAGTTTGTTTTCTGCTTCCAAGCTATGAAAAACCAGGGTAAGAGGATGAGGTCTACTACTTCTAAACACGTGAAAGACATGGCAGCTAGAGATGATCACTTCAATTCTCTAAACAAAAAGCCTTGTCTTAATAAATCAGCTCTGGGCACAAAAGGCTTGGATAGTTTTCTTGTATTAGCATATTTTGAGATTGCTTGTTTAAATAAAGAATTTTAACTGAATTCCTATTTCTATTCAAACACAGTCTAGCATAAATTACACACAAAAATAATCTAGTAAATGTGAACAATGCACCTCATTACTTTAAGGTAAAATGTAAAGCGAACAATCAGAATAGATGCATGTTGAGCTTTATAACTGTTTGGGAGTGAATCGGTAGCCTGCTGATCAAAAGCAGTAGCGTTAATTTTAGTGCAAAGGCTACATTTAGCAGAAAATCAACACGTTTGAATGTTTATCAGCCTTCCTGTAACACAAAAAGCACAAACACAAAATAAGATTAAAATGGATGGTATAAGTCCTGGCTGCTAACTTACAAACTTGAGTAGCATTAAGGATTTAACCCACTCATGCTAACCAAGGCTTTTCTTAGTTTAGTCCTTTAGGAGGATGGTCCAGTGACTAATTTCTTAAATCTGCTTCATGAAAGGTCTGTAAAGGAGACAGAGCTTTCTCCGAGGCCAGCCCAAGACCATGAATCAAAGCACCCCATGGGTGCTAAAGATCATCTGAAATCTTGTGCCCTTCCATCCACAGCTGCAAGGAGCATTTCTGGACCTTGCCTCCTCCAATGCACATAGGCACACATGGTTATTATAGACATTTAAAAGAACAAGTAGAAAAGCACTCTGTTGCACACGCGTCCCCTAGCTGGAGAAAAAACAAGACAGGCGTTAGTTATGTTGCTTAATGCGAAGCTGGAATTTGCTCAGATGCTCTAATGATGAGCAGAGCATAAAACTATATAGAGCAGAAATGCTTCAAGGCAGGCAGAGTTTTTCTTCTTCACTGTCTCCCTTAAAAGGCTGTATTCCTCTGTGGATGTACCGCAGTGATTCTACCTCAAATTCTGACAAGAGTGAAACGCTTTCGTGAAAAAGAGACAGAAGGGGGTGAAAGCAAGAATGAAGATCTGCATGCCAGAGCCAACCAGAGGCAGCAACAAAGTGAAGCATGTCACAATGGGGGAAGAAAGTTCTTGCATTTCTAGAGCGTTCATCCTCTTCCACCTGTGATTCATTTGACAGGTCTGCACATCAGAGGGACAGCTGCTGAGTTCTCGGCTGTGCATCCATTATTTTTCCCCCATGAGAGTTGCGCATTCTTCATCTATAGTTGTGAGCAGCCCCTGCTCTGCCATTAGTATAAATGCCCTGGGACTGATCCTCCAGAAGTACAGACAAAGATGAGGTGGGGTTTACACTGTCCGAGTTAATTGGTGTTTACCTTGGTAACTGCAAGGAGTCGACCACAATACAGCTCCTGGGTTAGAGAACAAACACCACCCTGCCTTGCCTAGACTTGGATGATTAGCAGTGGTGCAACTACACAGGCTGCTGAACGCCACTGGCTGATCAGGAATGATTCCCAAATGCAGGCCAGATGACACCATGCGATGCCTGGATGAAGAGTATGCATGTGCCCATTAAGCCTTGCAACCCCCACAAAGATATCTATGTTGAGGTCCTCTCTGCAGGGGCTATCACCAAGTCTTATACCAGGGGTTGGTGAGACTGGATCCAGGCACCTTCTCCGTCCAGCGCTGGTCAGTCTTCTTCCCTGTGCTCCTGATGCCCACCACAGCACCCAAGCTACTTGCTGCCACTTCTGCTCCCCATGCTCTGTCCTAAGGGCTGCTTTCGCCTTGCTGCTGCAACCTCTACTTACCCTCGCTGCTAAGTCTGCTGCTCCCCAGCCCAGTTGGCTACTAGAATCGGTGACACTTGGTGGTGCGGGTACCTGGAGTGTGGTAGGGGGGCACAGGAGAGAAGAGCAGCCCTGCAGAGGAGATGCAGTAGGTGGGTTGCAAGTGGCAGCTGTTTGCAAGATGCAATGGACCCTAGCTGATGCCGTGCACATCTGATGGTCGTTAAGCAATGGATGTCTTCCTTAATCCTAACAAAATGAGTGCACCGATTCCTGTTTTTCCTACACAAGATAAAAGACACTATGAAAAGCAGATTCACATACTAGGTGTCCCTCAAGTCACTTTTACATCTCATCAGCAAAGCAAGCACCCCAACCCCCAAGGGTGATCTAACCTTGCGACCGTAAAGCAGACACTGCCTGGTTAGAGAAGTTAACTTAGAGCCAGGTCAGTTCAATTTTAAGAAGATGTAGGGATTGTAAGATTCGTGTGCATTTTTAATATTAATTTGACGTTATCAAATACAGATTATATGAAGATCAAGCCTAGTGGTAACAGAAGCACCAGTAGATTTGATAGATTAAAAAAGCCTAGTAAAAGCAGAGTGATTTAGTAAAATCCTGTTTCTGTGATCAGTGAGCTACAGGACCATTGATGGCAGTCTTCAGTAGGTAAGAGTGCTCCATTTGTTTCAATTTTACAGAGGGCAATTTTTTAAATTAACCCTGAAGTACAGCCTTCATCAAAGCTTCTTTTCTGAAGCTTGTTTAAAAGCCGACTTAGAATTAAAGATGTTTTCCTTCTATCTTAATTTTAAACAAATTCACCAGCTGCACGCACTCATTGGACAACACTTCTTCCACTGCTGCATCCAAGAGAAAAAGAGGTATTACAGATGCAGCTTGGTTTAAGATGAGACAGATGTCTCCAAAGAAGGTAAGATGTGGATAGATGCGAAGATGTGGCATTTTCCGTGGCAGCGCTCCCAAGACAGGATTTTTATAGAGCAAAAGGTCACACAGCGAAACGGTTACGGAGAAATGCTTTGGCCGAGGTATTGTTTTAAATATGCTGTGTTCTCTGGTTAGTATTACAAAGGGCCGTTTGCTGAAGACAGGGAACTACGTGTAGGATTTTAGGAGTCAGAAACTTCCATCTGTGATGACACGGCCTGCTCCAAGGCATCCTCCGAGCGGTCATGGGAACACGGGCATCCTTGCTGAGTTTTATACAGTTTAGTACATTCGATTTCCAGCTTTACAAACCAGAGATCCAGACTACTTCCTGGCACAAACAGTGCCGTTCAATGTGAATTCATCACCAAGCCAACATATGATTTGACACGGTCATAGTAACTCTGTTGAAAGAGCACCAGGAACGGGAAAAAGACTACCGTAGGTCAACAGAGCTGTTACAAAGCCTTGTGTAATGCATGCATGCCTCAACTGGGTCCATTGTCCATTTATTTCCCAAGCAAAAAAGTCAATATTCACTCAAAAAGGAGTGTGAAAAATGTATATAGGAATGAATGATTTTATATTACTCATTATTACGAAGTACTTTGGAGTTTCAAGAACAAGCTATCATTTAGGGAGACAGGGAATGGAATCAGTGTATGCAAACCAAGGAGCTACTTTATTCCACGTCTCAGAAAGTTGTGCGCAATGCCCCTTTACTGGGTTCTGTAATAGGTTCATGGAAAAAAGTATACTCTGTACTACACACCCATCTCCTTAAGATGCTAATTAGCTCCACACAACAAAGCCTTCTCAGGACGGAGAGAAATGCTGTAGGTGTAATAAAAAGACATCTATTGGTTTTGGAGCAACATGAAGCTGCATTAGCTGAGAAGTCATCTATCAGTCTCTTGGTGCAAAGGGCTCATCTTTTCTCGTTAAATATCTTAAGAGGCTCTGTCAAGAAGATGCAGTCGAGATGACACGGGAAGTGCCTTCTCATTTGATAATCAGAGGTTATTGCACCCTATTATTGCAATGCCAGTCCTGTGAATGCTCCCATGTGCCGGCAATCTCGTTTTGAGACACTGAGCTGCTACTCAGATGCCACCTCTTGAAATGGTGTCTTGTGCGAGGAACAGAGCTAATCAGGTTGAGCACAGCACTGTGACAACCTGTCGTGTTTCTGGTTTGGGAGGCAGAACTGCAGAGCACTCCTATGCACCAACCCGGCACTGCACTGAAGCACCCACACAACACGACTTCTGGCTCCAGCCTGCCGCCTTCCAGCTACAGAAGCCGTGCCAAGGCAGGGCACAGGATCAAAAAAGTTGTGAATCATGGAGCCTGGGGGTCAAAACCAGCTTAGCAGAAATCAGGCAGAAAGATTAAAAAATGGACCAGCTTCGGATCTCTTCCCATTTCAATAGTTAATTGATATAAAAATCCCCTTCCCCCAAATCTTGGATATAGGATCAAAGATCTCTGCTCGCACTCCATGTAAGAAGCAGAGTGTGAAACTTCTTACTCCAGAAGAAGTTCAAGAAACTTTTAGTGTAATTCGTACAGGGAAAGCATTGCGCTGGAACCGATCAGGGCGCCTGACAACTTTATGATGGAGGTGACACGGCTTCGACAAGGGAATAAGTCAGACGCACGAGGAGGAGTACTGTACTTTAACCTCCGTGAAACCAAGTGGATATGCCAGACTGATTTCTTGCATTCCTTCTGCTTTCCAGAAAATTGTCTGCTGTGGATCACCTCCAACCTGGCCTTCGTGTGAGATTCCTGGAGAACCAGTAACAAAGCAATTCTGTGTTGTCAAGTAGTTCAACCTAAGCAAGGCTCGTGAGCGGCACTGCAAGAGGCAGGGTGCAAGACAGAAAAACGTGCTCTACCTGCCTGTAAAAAAGTTACCTGCTGCAAAAAGTTTGAACAAGGCAGATTTATATTGCCAAAAGCCTTGCTCATGGACCACGGCTGCTATTGCTTAGCCTGACCTCTGCTTTCAAGTCTGAAGGTAAATGATATGCCTAAAATCTTGCAGGATCACATAAAGATGCTCCATAATCCACAGGTTAAAAGAAAAATAGCTCCAGGAGGATTTAGGAATCAACTATTACGTCAGGCTGTAGGTAAATACTGAGAAAAACACCTTGGGAGAGTAGGAATGCATCATGTTTCTTCCTGCTTTGGATTTCAAGTCTATGCAAAATATTTAAACATTCATCTCACTGCCTAGCTGAGCCGAGATTAAAAAACAATGTAAAACAGTCATTACTGGAACACTGCTTAGGATTCTTCTCTTTCTAAAGACATAATTCCAACCAGATCCCTACAACTGTGCATTGTTAAGAAAGCTGCAAAGGCTTTTTAAGTTTTGCACAGACTAAATAGGCACAGGGTTTTGCAAGGTCTCACTTGAAGCACTGCGAGGCAGGAAGCTGCCTGCAAGTCTATCTGCCGTGGAAGGACAAAGAGAGACTCTTGCATTTCTGAACAGACAGTCGGATCGGTGCCTCTGTAAATCTGAAACCCGCCCGCTCCGACAAGAGCTGACTTTGGGATAACCGTGATTAGGATCATCTCTTATCGTGGGAGTGCAGCCAGCCAGTCTAGCCTCACATAACCGAAGCTGAAGAAGTTTTCAATAAGGGCTTTGGCTCTTGCGAGGCGAAATGTCAAGGGAAGGAATTTGGTTTTAGTGAAGCGTGGGAGCACACTAGTCTGCCAGGCTGGCATGCTTTCAAGTGGCCTGATCAGAGGGTAGGACAAGGTGGCACCTTGCAGACTAACCCCTTCAAAGAGAGCTTTTTTTTTTTTTTTTGTAGGATACAGCCTACTTGATCAGATGCTTAGATGTATACACAGTTAGCAGTCATCTGAACAAGACCTTTCGCCCGGTGCAGTCCCAAATGGCAAACAGTAACAGGTGTTAAGATTAGAATGAATGGACCAGGGCTTTAGCGATACCAAGGGTGAATAAAACCTGGCTCTTCTGACTGACGTGTGGCTTAGAGAGACTCAGCCCCATTGCTTCTTAGTTCGGATCAGGAGTGAGAAGCAGCTTCTGGAGAGGGCAGGCCGTTGGCTGCTGGCTGGTGCTACTAAGATTGGCTTGGCATGTTATGCTACAGAGCAGTGGTTTATAACCCGGGTCTGCGAACCCCTGGGGATCTGCAGACTATGTCTAAGGGGGTCTGCAAAAGATGACTATGAATCAAAAAGATGTGAATACCCACACTTACAATTCAAAGGGGTCCGCACCTCTGTTCAAAATTGTTTATGGGTCTGCAAATGAAAAAAGGCTTGAAAACCACTATTACAAAGTGCTGCAGTCCTCAGCAGCTTGCTGGGAGTCCAATGTGGCCCATGGAAACATGCAAACTTCGGACCAAACGCTGAAAGCAAAATAGCCCAGAAGCACGTCCCCCCTGTGCTGGAGAAAACGTCCTTAGGAGAAATGCTAATCCTTGCGCGTGATCTTTGGTTCGACTTAAAAGAATCTCCCACCTGGAGACAAAAAAAGAACAAATTCTAGGCATAGACCAATAGCTGTTTTTTCCAATGAACCGTTCTTAGCACGGGGACTGAATTTACCATCTGAGAAGCCAAAAATAACTTTGGGGACGATGCAACCCCTCCGTGACATAAGCGGCCAGGATCTGATTGTGTCCTTGTTACAGATAGGAAACACTGGAGAACAGCGCGATTGTGCGAGCTGGCCAAGGTCTCTACAGCGACAGCATTTCTAAGTCCACAGCTCACCATGCAGAAAGCCAGGGGTGTCAAATTTGCCCTGCACCTCAGGGCAGATCTGAACTGCGGAGGTCCCTGCAAGGCTGGATCCAGAGGCAGCAGTGGAGGGGGTTAATCCAGTCTTCACTTGCCCTTCACACTCATGACACGCACCAGAAAAGGGGCTCTGTGCCCCACATTTCAGTGACGAGGCCTCCCTTGAATTCCTAGCCCCTCTAACAGCTCCACCGGCCATATGACATGGCTCCGTGGGTCAGATCCGGCCTGCAGGAGAGTGCTTTGACACCTCCTGTGTAAGCAATCAAGATCATCACCAGTAAAGCAAATTAGTGGTGGAGCTGAAACCAGAACCCGATGCTACTGGCTCCCAATCCCCGGCTTTCATCATTAGACCACGTTTCCTCCTTCCAAATGAACAGCCACTAAGCCAACTATGTGGCCATGTCTGCCAGAGCTGCAAAGAAGATTGTGCTCAGCAATGCAGAGATCTGCCTCTAGGAAGGCATGATTTCTTACGTTAAAGGCAAGCCCATAAAACCTGGTTTATACAGTTTCTATCCAGAAATGGGAAGGTTATGTGCACCAGAGATAAATCAAGTCTTGCTAGGTTTTATCCTAGGAAACAGCTCTGCATCTAACAAGGATTTAATCTTATCTGACCCAGCAGCTGATAACCACAGTATTGAAGAGTTTTGTCTGGGCTGCTGGGGTTACTAACCGTAACTGGCTTTTGCTCAGGTATGGGTTATTAAATGCACCAATATTGTTACTCCTGAACCAGTCGGGACTCTGAAGAGCACGGATAATTTAAAGGGTGTTCTTTGTCACGTGTCTCTAGACTGTAGTTCTCTGTGGGCAGGGTGCATGGCAATGGGTTTAGCAAAGCAGCTTTAGAACGAAGCTCAGGAAAAACCTCCTGGCTGCAAGAACAGCAGGACAATGAAACCAGCCACGGGGCATGCCTTAGGAACAGCAAATCCCACATCTGGGCAGGGGGTTGCACTTGATGACCCTAGAGATACCTTCTAGGCCATATAAGTCTATGATCAGATGCAGAAAAAACTCTTCCTGTTACATTTCCAACTCAGCCAGGAACAGGGGCCCAGCCCAGAGGCATCAAACATACAGCCCACAGGCCTGCTGCAAAATTCACAGCCCCCTGAGCCTCACTAGACTTGGCTATTGGTGGCAGGATGGCAAGTAAGGGCTGGACTCTGCGTATGAACCAGACGCTCACCACTGCACCAGACCCT